TTAGCACCAGATGAAATTGCTTGTCGAATATGCAAAGTGGCTAGAGCTCTTAGACACCAAAAATGATTTACTATTGAGTGGCTGGATGATTCAAACTGTATCGCTGTGTTAGAAGATGGTTCACACTTTTAAAAAGTACATTTCCACCCTGGTCTCTAAACTCTGCCAGCGCTCTGGCTAACTGCTGCAGATGTTGACTATACTCTCATTGTCTACCATCTAACCTGGGTTCAAAAGTCCTGATGCACCAAAATCCACAGGCGGAGTTAATCGCATAAAGCTTGTTAAAGCGGTAACGATTTACAACCTGTTTGCTTATGTTAAGTTGTTAATCTTATTGTACACAGTTTGCAAACACATTTTGCAGTCGGGTTTAATAAATTTATCTTGGCATCACCTTTCAGCTCTGCCTTCTGGCAGCCGGAGGGCAGACAGTATACAGCAGCGTGTCTCTCCTGTCAAAGCATGGTGTGAGCGGGAGATAAACTGCAGTGGAGGGAGCGTCCCTGTCAGTAAGTGGTAACACTACTCCTTGTGAGAACGGCTGTGGGTGTGTGAATGACGTGGCAGTGCTGTTTTCTTGTGGGGGCGGGGGTGCGTCGTACAGGGAATTAAGCGTCAAATTGTAGAGCGCTCGCTTAGCATGCGAGAGGTAGCGGATCGATGCCCGCATTCTCCAGTGACCCTTTTGGCTGTAGATGCATACAGTGCAATGCTTTTAAGGATTAATGTTGTACCAGTGAAAACTGCACATTACTTTATGAATGACTGTATTTGTTGCTAGGCAGTGGCAACTCATTGTAACGTTTACAGCACTTTTATTTCTCTGACCAGTCTTAAAGGCCCAGTGTGTAGGANCTCGCTTCACCCTCCCCTTCTAAGAAACTACCGTGGGCTGCAAAAACACTAAAGGTCCTATCTAGAGCCAGTGTTTGGTTTGTCCTTTCTGGGAGTCCATGAAAGGCAACCTGCCTGTGTCTGTAGATATAAAAGGCTCATTCTGAGATAAACAATAACAATTCCTATATTCAGGTGATTATACACTAATGAAGACATACTTTACATCCATTTCTGCCACAAGAGCCTCCTAAATGTTACAGACTGGACCTTTTAGAAATGAAAATGGTTGTTTGTGTTTGTGTTAATGGTAAAATCTCTTATTACCTAAAATTATAAAAGCTTTTATACTATTAATAGTGCAACATCTCATGATTTTCCACTCAGGGTGGTGGAACTGTGAAAGCTTTTAAATGTGTTTATACAGACTACGTGTCTGTTCATCCACAGAAAGGCTTTGATGGGAAAGATGTATAGACAGGTTTCAGCAAACCCACCAAAACTCAAAACCCAACTATGTGGGCAGAAAAAGCTTCACTGAGTCATAGAGCAATAGTAGGTGACTCCTTCACACCCATAATGTCACAGCCAAATGTATTCCTGAGGAGGTCGGCGAGCAGTGTTTTAATTAGCGTTTACTGTTAGTGTCATTTGTGGCTTTAAATGACTTCATCACCACACCACTTTCATTTTTATGTTTTGAGAATCTTGTGTAAAAATGAACCCCTACACCCTGTAAGCCTTTGTGTCTTTCAGTTGTGTTATATTCCAACATCCTTTGTTTTTGATTCAGAAGAGCAATATGTCTTTATAGTTATACATTAATGTGTCATTTTATAAACACCACAGGTATCTGAAGACTACCGCAACACAAACAGAAACTTTACACGCCTCAAATATGCCAACAACAAATACTGATTGCCCATTTTATTGATAGAAATCTTGTGCAATGAACAGTTGTGATTTCTAAATGAGTTGATATTTTAACCATCCTGTGGGATTGTGGTGTGGCTCTGTCTGTATGTCTGTGGTTTTTCCTGTGCTTTAATGTGTTTATCTATTATATTGCTATTAAACTAAGATCAATGCTGAGTGGGTAATGGATACGGCAAACACTTCACCCAGAAGCCATCAGAGGAACACACACGGGCGCAAACACACAGTGCAGATATGACCATTTAGAGGCCCCGTAATTACTGTTTACTCTCTAGAGTGTTTGAATAATGGAAACCCGGCCATATCAAACACAAACATACATACACACCTCAGATTTCAGGAGCACTCTTTGGCATGCCTTATTCAGCATGATTGGACACAGCAAAGAGATAAACTAATACATGGCTGGTAAGGGAAATAGGAATCTGGTGTGTATAAAAAACGTCAGCTATGGCTTCTTAACTGGGCTCCTTCATATCAGTTTATGCTACATTTTTAGTTACTTTTTGCACATGATATATTTTGAACTGATAAGGTACATTTGAGTTCAACTGTTCATGTTTTTGTTGAGCGCTAAACTCACCGAATCCAGTTAATTTTGTGACAGTGGTAGAAAGTTCAAATAGACTAGATGAAGGCTGCAGATTACCTCAAAGGATACAACGGATCAGAAAGACGCTTTACGTTTCTTTTTTGCCCCCCTTTACCTAATTCAATTAAAAAGAAATTGACACTCAACCGTTCATTATTTTTCCATGAGCAATATCCTCCTCCAGTGCTAGATGATTATCTCCATCACAGTGCCAGTCCTAATGAGCTGCTGATATTCAATATGGCAGTCAGAGCTGTGCTTGTTTCAGTTGGCAGATCTCAGCTGTTATTTCTGCTTTGCTTTGTACACCAATGATTTGCGTGCGAGGGCTTGTTGGAAACTTAGCCAATGGAGACCTGCCAGTGATCTTTTTGGTTGTTTAGTAATATAAATACTATGTTTGGTTTCATGTCACTGCTCGCTCTGTGACATTTTAATCGCATATATGCCAACATTATGAATACCGACAATCACCAAGTGCCACAACTTGTGCCACCATTATTGTGGTTGTACATGCAGGAAGTTTCAGTGTGGATTGCAGCTTTAATGCCAGAGTCAGACAAAAAAAAGGTGTCGTTCATTCCACCTCGTCCCTGGAGGTTAGCCATGGTGAGTCCACTAAAGGCAGGCCTGAACACAAAGGCGGCTGTAAGAGGCAACTTTGGGCAAAAACAAGCGCCCTCTTATTTTTCCATCTTATTCTTATTCTTGTTTTTTTTAGCAAGCTTAGTGATTTGAATGACGGTCACGGTGTCACATGGCTTTAAGACAGCCAAGAAAGTCGGTCTGAATGCCTTTCTTGAGACATAGTAATCCATAGATCAAACAATCTGATTTACGCTGGAAATGAGTCATCAGCAAATAGAGCCAACGCTGTGCACTTGCCAAAACCTTTTGTTATTCCTCTTTGCCTGCGCGTTGCGTCAGAGTAGTCAAATATTTTATGGTCTGCAGGCTCCCTCCTCCTCCACTTCAGCTACTCTAACAGGAATTATGAAATCATGCGTCACTGTTATTCACAACAAATTGTTCATGCACCCACACAAAGGAGTTAATTTAAAACACACACACTCTTATAAACTTTTAACACACCACACTCAGACAAGGACAATATTTTTAAGCTGTTACAAGACACTGTACATGTACGCACTCTAACACAGCACTCCTCAGCTGAAGGGGTGTTAGTTGTGAAATGCCATGAATCACATCAGTCTGACAAGCCTATGAAGGAAGTGGCTTAAGTCAATCACTTACTCGCCCACATGCTGCTTCCAGGGAAATGGATATGATGGATGTTGGTGGCAGTGATTAAGATTGTTGATTAATCTCAGCGTATTCCAGACGTTGTGAGTGGGAGAGCAGACAGTGTGCAGCCGTTTTCATTTCAAAACGCGCAGCTGTCCAGCTTCCACTTGTTATAAGTTATAGTGTAATGGCTCTCATTTAATTGCATTCTTATTATTTTTTATAATAACAACTTAGCAACTACTCCTACTGAATACATAGTGACCACCTTGTAACAAGTAGCACAGGATTGGAGGAAGCATTGGATTACACTTTCCAATGGCATATAAAGTAATCAGAGACATATCAGTGTATTAGGGCAGCAATAACTGACCTCTCTGAATGGGCCACTCTTTACAATTGACTACTTTTACTACCTTTTTTAAATGTATTACTAGCTACATTTCACTGGTAGTGCTTATGCACTTTCTTTTCAGTAAAATAAGGATTACAGAACTACTTTTACTTATAGTCTTCTCTAGTTGCTCACATCTACCTTGCACATATTTATCAGACGTAGCCTTCCTAGTTTAATACTACATGTTGCATTATTCATACTTAACTCAGGGCGCTGTGGTTTAGTTAGTTCAAGTGCCTGTCTTGTAAACAGGAAATGCTGGGTTCCTGGACAGTGCCTTGTTACTGAATTTCCCCTCTGGGAATCAACACAGGCTTATCTTATCTTAACTCAGAGCTCATGAAGCATTCAGGCTGCACCAGTGTCAAATAGTAATGAACTCAACCCAATTAGTGAATTGTAGATGAATCAGTAATGTTATAAACTTAAAGGCCAGTGTGGACAGGGCTCAAGGCCATTGCTTCCCTGTGACCCTGTTGAATCAAACAGATACTGATATCTTGCGCCCTCTGGTGGAGGGTGTCTCCTTTTGCCTGTGTTTATTAACGCTTTAAGACACTGTCATCACATGGCCACCAAGGGACTCAAAAATGATTCATACGCAGGCGTTTACGATACATACACACTCAGTTTTATGCTAATGCAACATATGTCTGCTTTTTCTTTGCTTCTTTGTTTATCCTGAATTTAAAAGTCTAATCACGAGCACGGTCTAAAAATGTTCGTCCCTGTTAAATATACAAATAAAAATACAATTTATCCTCATCGTCTAAAGCGCCGGTTTCTAGCTAAGACTGTTTTACTTGTTACGTGTTCTACTACATTGTGTGCTGTAACAAGTCTATATTTTATTTTGAATGGGAATATCTCCTGTTAACTCTAATATTGCCAGTGGCTCAAAATCACATTCATCCGTGCACATCCACATCCTCAGTTAAAATATGGACATCATCATCAAACTAACAGCCACATGTCTCTCCCTCTCTCCTCCAGAATGTGAAGATGCCACATCCTGTCAACTATTTCCCTACTGAAACTTTCATCTCGAAAACCCTCTCTTTGGACTTCCTCTCTACCGGCACTTCAGAGCCATTCACAGAGGACAGCTTCACTGGCAACATCAGCAACATCAGCGGGTTGAGCAGCCTTCGTTGCACCTATAAGGAAGACTTTAAACGTATTTTACTCCCCGCTGTGTACATCTTTGTCTTCTTGCTCGGCCTTCCTCTCAATGCTGCTGTCATACTGAAGATATGGAGGACTCGGCCCAATCTGTCCAAAAACAACATCTACATGCTGAACTTGGCCACAGCAGACTTTCTGTATGTGATGTCACTTCCCTTGCTCGTCTACAACTACGCCAGTCATGACTACTGGCCCTTTGGGGAGTTTGCCTGTAAAATGGTCAGGTTTCAGTTCTACAGGTGAGATACTTATACGTATTTAGATGATTGTATCACACACCAGTCTGAGGCTAACACGTTTTTCACTTCTTCCCGTAGCTGTTATCTCCAAATATATACAGTTTTTATTAATGTGTGGTATTATATATATATATATATATATATAATATATATATATATTTCAGTGAAAAGAAGTTCACTTTGAGTGAACCCCCTATTTAGCATTTATAAGCAGTATAGAAACATGTCATAAATGGTTTATTACACACTATAATGCAGTTGTAAGCACATCATTGTTTATGTATGTATTTGTCAGCAACTATAACTCCTCTTGCAGGTATCTGTAACTCAGTGATACTCTCATAGGGAATGACATTATGGTAAAACACAGTTAAATACTTCATTAATAAATACTTCTTACAGTGCTCTCCTTAGATCTGCTTACAACTGCATTATAGTGTGTTATAAACCATATATTAAATGTTTAATACTGGTTCTAAATGCTAATTCTGGGAACTTAAAGTGTTACTCTCCGGTTGTCTTACTACAACCTTGCACTCTGTGTTTGATATACAAATATAACAGATACAATACAATGCGGTACTTAATGAGATTTAAGTTAACAGTATTTTCCTTCTTCTCATTTTCCTGTTTTAGCAATCTGCATGGCAGCATCCTCTTCCTCACCTGCATCAGTGTGCAGCGCTATGTGGGCATTTGCCATCCTCTGGCGATGTGGCACAAGCAGGGTGGCCGCAGGATGGCGTGGTGCATCTGTGGAGGGGTATGGCTGGTGGTGGTGGCCCTGTGTGCGCCAACTTTTCACTTCGCTGCGACGGGCATCCAGCGAAACCGCACAGTGTGTTACGATTTAAGCACGCCGAAGCACTCGGTAGACTACTATCCTTACGGCATGGCTCTGACCTGCCTCGGTTTCTTGTTGCCTTTTATGGGTGTGATGGTGTGCTACTGTCGGATGGCCCACATCCTCTGCCGCCCGGTGTCCTACCAGGGTGTCTCCATGGCGACTGGGGAGAAACGGGACAAGGCGGTGAGGATGATCATTGTGGTGGCGGCAGTGTTCTGCATAAGCTTCCTGCCATTTCACCTCACCAAGACCATGTACCTGGTGGTGCGTACTCTGCCCAACGCGCCCTGTGAGACAAGAAACTTGTTTTCAATCATCTATAAGAGCACCAGGCCGTTCGCCAGCATGAACAGCTTCCTGGACCCAATTCTGTTTTACTTCACCCAGCCACGCTACCGCCGGAGCACCAGAAGGTTTATGCTCAGAGTCACCACCCGCAGGGACAGGGGCACCAGCGTGTGAGCGATTCCTTGAATTCTAGGATGCTGCAAAGTGGTACATGTATAGGCTGCTGAGTTTTTTAAAAGGTTTCTGTGTGCATGTAAACTTTACCTACTACTCACTGTAACAAAGAACTGTACCTTTTTTAGAGGTACTGGCCTATCAAGAAGCCTTCTGAAATGCAACATGCAACATATAATATGAATGGTAATCATAGACTGAGAAAACTTGGAGAAGAAATTCCCAAAGTTGAAATTAAATTGGTCTCTGTTGGCATTAACCATCAGAGCCATCACAGACTACAGGTGTGTTTCTCATTGAGATCCCTGACTCTGTATTGCATTTATTTGATTATTGTTGTGGCTGAGGAGTACTATACATGTACTTTATATATAAATGCTGATTTTATCGTCAGCAGAAAGGGGCATTCACATCCTGTATTGTCCCTGTTATCTGTGAACTGTCCACTTCCAGTCTCTACTTAAAAAAAAAATGTTTCACACTGTGAACTGCACTATAATAGAAATGCTCCAAAATTATAAAATAATGAAGATGATTTTGATTTGTGTGATTTGGAGGTGGAGATGGTGGAGATGGTGCAATTGTAATTGTTTATAACATGGCATGGTATGTGAGTACTGCATGAAGCATGTGTTTGTGGAAATGAACTGCTGCTGGGATGAAACAAAAACAGAACTGCAGTAACACGGCAGGTGAAATACCGAGAGCAAAACTGAAAATGAAATAATGTATGTGCATTTTCATGTGAAGGTTTCTACTGTTTTTTCCCTAAAAGGGACACACTGTTTCAGCATTTATCCAAGTTATAAGGCTTGTTGTTGCATGTTTTCACCACTGGATGGTGTGTTAAAGCCACTGCTGTAACCCCACTGCACTGAAACGCTGGCTCCGTTCTGTCTGTAATGGTTAGGTTATTATCCAGTAGATCTTACGCACTGCAATCAGAGATAAACTGATGCCAACAAAACTTAAATATCCAGCTCATACCACACTAAAAAAGGCCATCAGTCATGGTTTACTCCGCATCTTCTCCAGTGAACAAAGGAGATCCATTTACAAGTTTGTGCCAACGATAATACATTTAAAAAATCCTTATCAGGTGCATCAGATGCTTAGAGGGAAGGAAAAAAGCAATTTATGGACATAGAGGGTCTAATTTAAGACTCAACCCTGCGGTTTTCCACTTCCCATGAAATTAGGACTTCTGTTTCAAGAAATGTTGATAGGAGTTTGGTGTTATAGAGATGAGAGAATGAAGAATAATTAATGAATTGTTTAGTTCTTACTACTGTTTGGATAGCTCTAACCAGATACAATACCTTCTGGTATTTCTTATGGAGTTATATCAACTAACTGAGCTACTGAGTTTATGATTTGTTCTGTGATGTTCATGAAATGAACATGAACACAGATTGATGTTTAGTAGTGTGTTGTTTGTTCTAACTGCATTTGTTTAGAACTTGATGTTATTTTAACTTAATTGAAATGTTTTCATTAGTAATTATTTTTCTGATTCGTTTTGCATGTTGACATACTGCGAAGAAAACAGTGGAATTTGTTTCATATTTATATGAAACTGAAAATACTAAAATAATCCTTAATTCTGATTTTTAAATCAGTTTAATTTGCCAGCAGCCTTTTAAATTGTTCTGAAGCCACTGTAACAGACAATATTTAGGCAGCTTTACTACCTTAGCACTTAGCAGCTATAGTTTGAGTTTTGCACCCAAAGAAATGTTGTGTACATCGGTTTAATGTGAACATGTTTTTATGCATTGCAAATGCAAGGAACATTTGAACCAAAATATGCAGTCAGTTGCTTAAAAACGTTAGGAACTATTAATGTATGTGTGTTTGTACAGCATGTACATTGATTAATGTAGTGATATACTGTATGTTGTGTGTTAGCAAAATGGTCTTGTTTATATGTGTGTTTGGTCAAACTGTCTGAAATGTGTGTGTGTGTGTGTGGTCAATTCAGAGGATGTCTATGCACTGTGCCAACATTTTTATGTCATTCAGTATTATTTAGAATAATTCTCATTTTTGTAAAACAGATATAGTATCAGGAATAGAATTTTATTTTTGTTACATAGATAATAATGTTTAAATGTTAAAAGTAACATTTATGTTATTTTTTTAGTTTTTATTTTCTTGGGTTGCATGTGAAAATGTTTTGTATGTCTTCATTATGTAAAACTAACTTTAAACAGCCATTAAAGACGTGTTGCAGCCTGTCATGAATGCTTTCACTTCACTCATATATAAATAATTTCCCTTTTTCACAACACCTCCTCTCAGTGGTCACATCAGTGATGGGCTGATGGCTAACAAGACGTATATTATATATATCAAAGGGGTAAATATTGATGGAGACAGTGTTGCTTGCTCTTTTTCCTTCTCTCAAATTTCTGCAACAACTTTCCAAGGTTAACATGATTTCACGTGGAAACATGACAGCAGGCGGATTTGTGGCGTAAATACTTTGAAGCAGTTAATTGTTAAAACTTGTTGAATTTAGCAAAAGTCCTGTCAAACAACTCAATCCTGCTTCAGCAGCAACAACAATGGAGATTCATTAAAGGTAGAATCCAAACTAATGACTGCAGATGGTTATTAAGAAGCAGCCCGCTGTCTACCACCTGACATTTGACGGGTCAGACTGTGGAGGGCGCTGCAGTCAACAACTCCTCTCCTCTGAGGGAATGCAACACAGAATTCCTGTCTGGAACAAAAGGACCTGTTAACCAGACAGCCACATGGGAAGCACCACAGAGGGTTTATTGTGCATGAGTGAAAACTTTTCTCATTGCCCCCCCCCCCAGAATGCTGACACTCTAATTCATCAACACCATCCTAACACACTGTGGTAGGCCTGCAGAGCTACTGCTGAATATGCAGCAACCAATTAAAGTGATAAAGTGATAATCATTCTGTGGCTTCCTCTGTGAGCCTCTAATGATAGAAATAGGGTAAAATTGATGCTGTATCTTAGAAATTAGGTAGCGTGTTTAGTCATATGTGCACATGGGTGTTTGTAAAAGTTTATAAAAGCGCTGCAGGTCCAAATTTGTGCTCAAAAATGTGGTTCTCTCTTTTAAGCTCCTCTCAGTGCTGCTGTCTTTTTCGCAAGGGAATGAGCTATAATTACATGTAGTTTGTCCACAGTATCTGTCTTCTCCCATCAAAAAAGAAAAAGCTTTTCCTCTCAATCCCCGAGGGGGCTATGACAGCCCCTATACCCCTAGTCCCGCCCACCCCCTCTGCCCTATCTCAGGCATTAACATGCTAAAAACAACACAAGTCACGGAAAACCAAATCATGCCAAAATAAGGAATCCACAAACAGTTTTGGGAATTAACCGGGAATGATGCGTCGGGCCCGTGCATGCGTGCCAACCTGGCGATGGGCAGAGGTTTAGAAAGAGTGGGGGGACAACAATGGAAAAGTTGTGTTTGTGAACAGGTTGGGAAAGTTTGGGCCAAAAAAAAAAAACAATTGTAGCGCTTTTCCTCCTTGCACGGATGCGGTTTCAGGAATCGACAACATGTAAGTTTTGATAACAGACCAGCACCCACCTACTTACTCAGTGAACATTTAGCACTTGATTAACCTTGTTACAGTGCAGTTGGAAGCTTTGCCAACAATTAATTATATGTTTTAATGCCATCAGGCTGCGGGAGGAAGTGGACCGCAACCCCAAAAGGTGCTTGGATTTGTAATATCCGTGTGGAGTAGAAATGTGTGTGTGAAATCTAACAAAGAAAAGACATGAACAATGGCTGAAAGAGAGAGGAAGAATGCGGCTGTGTATCGCAGCGTCTCTTTCAAAAAGTTGGGGTCCTGGAGCGCCAGCAGGAGTGAAGACCAACAACACAAATCAGAGGATTTGGAGGCAGCTGGCGTCGCCCTTCCCCCGGAGCCCAGCAAAGCGGAGCAACCTTTAGCGACGCGTAATGTCAGCGTGTCAAGAAAAGTTTCCAAAATCTGTGCCACCACCAACGCCGCCGGCCTCCCAACCGCAGATTCAAAGAGAGGCTCCTCCGCTTCTCTCTCCTCTATTTCTCCATCCATTCGCCAGCTCACAGAGAAGTTCAGCAGCAGTGGCTCCGCCGGGACGCGCAGAGGCTCACCGGGAGACGGCGCAGCGGTGACGAGGGGGAGCAGCACTCTTCCCCGGGCCAGGGGCTCCAGGAGAGACGGGTCTGCGTCTCGTAAATCTTTTCACGAAGAAGGCGGCGGTGGTGGATATTTACAGGATAGCGACACGACTACTGCGGAGTCTCTCACAGACAACAAAGTGCAAAAGTTTCTCTCTGGCACTGACTCTGTTTCAGGCTCCGACTCGGAGAGGAAGAGTGAGAAGCGGTTTTTTACACGTTTATCCACCGACAGCAGCAGCAACAACTCTGGTAAGAGAGATTATTCACAGATCAATGCATGTCCCTCTGATCCCAGGAAGACTCTGACTACAGACGAAGAAGAGGATGTTGCTAGTAGAGGGGTTCCTCCACCCTGTAAGTCTCACAGAAGTTATTTTACACACCATAGTGACTTTATTCCCCTGCACCCTGACAAGTGGCCCAGTGTCACCAAAATTAGACAGATTTTTGATGAGAGACAAAGCAAAGCTACGCTGAAGACTGACGCTGAGAATTTAAAAGCGTCCGGCAGAGGCCATCCACAGGACCTCAGCCAGAGTGAGAGTGCTCCTCTCTCGGATAGAAGTGACAAAGTCTCACCTTGCAGCTCAGCTAATGAAGCCAGTAGCCGGTCTTTGCATGGAAAATACACAGTAGAAGCACAAAGCAGAGGAAGCAGTACTGGTAAAGAGACTTTTTGTTACGGTATGGACTTTTATTCCAAAGCTGACCACCAGCAGTACTCAAATGATGAAGAGGCACACATAGAGACACACAGTTCAAATAACAACAAAGTTATTGGCAGAAATACTGTTCAAAGCAGAAGCAGTTGCAGTCGCACTGGGGGTAGTCACTACCACAGGATTAACCCATCTTCTTACAGATCTCATAGTCCCAGCACTGAGGCAGAGGGTGCCCATAAGACCCCCAGAACGACAGGGCTGACATCTGACCCCAGCCCTGACCTTCAACCCCCTGCTACTTCGTCTTGGAGTCGATCGCAGGGCTTAGACACCTCCTCCCGCTCCTCCTCTCCTCAGCAGCCGACAGTGAGGGAGAGAAGGGATAGACAGGGGGTCGGGCTGCCCAGGGATAGTTTACATTCCTCACATAGCTCCTCTAGAGCGCCAGCCCCCACCTCCTCCTCCCCCTCTTCTGCTCCAGCTCCAGATAAAGCCATTACCTCCTCCTCCTCCTCTACTGTAGCTCCCTCCACTGAGCTAAGAGCCCCAGCAAGAGTTGCCTATCCCCTCCGCTCCCGCTGGAGGTTTAGCTCTGGAGACGAAGAGGAGGAGCACACCAGGAGAAAAAGAGGAGGTGGAGGTGGTTGGAGTGTTCCTTCCGGCCCTGCTCCTTCCATCTTCTACAGAGCAGGAGAGAGGGGCACCACAGAGCGAGGGGGCAGCTATTTATCCCGCAGTAAAAATGGCTGGTGGGGTGCTAAGGGCATTGGTAGGTCCTCAGGCAGTGAAGAGGACAGCCCTGGTTCCTTAGGCCCTCACAGTCGAGAGGCAGTGCGCCGCCGTTCACTGAGAAAGAAGAAGAAGGTCAGTGGAGCTGCTCTAGCAACAGGCCGTGATGATTATGATGATCATGATGGCGAATCAGAAGACAGCGACAGTGACACAGCCTTGACAATGGACCACTTAGAGAGGCACCAGCAGCATAACACAGGAGGAACAGCATCTCGGAGCCACTCTGCAAGAGAACCCGGCAATCACAGTAACAGAGCCAGGGTCCAGCAATGGGAGCGCATCTCCTCACCTGTGACTTCCACGACACTTCCTGGAGTATCACGAGTGTCAAAGGTCAATATTCCCCCATTTGCTTCCAGTCCTGGTGGTTCTCGTTGCAGCAGCCGATACTCTAGCACTGAAACGCTAAAAGAGTTGGACCAGGCTAGTTGTGCCAGCCCTGCAGCAAATAATAGAACTACTTCCTCGTCCATGCTGAGTAAAACGTACCATGGGAATTTCACCATGTACCGATCCCCAAGCTTTGGCCATGGGGATAACTTCTCCCGTAACCCTGTGCGGGTGCGCCCCAAGATTGTGCCTACCGTCACCCCCTTACCTAGTGTACTTGCCAGAGAAAGTGGGGCATCTACAGGGGTTAGGGGTAGTGAGGCTGTGGCATTAAGGACAACATCAGGTGGGGATAAGGTAGATGATAATGATAAAAACCGAATATCCATGTCCAACCCCGATATCACCTCAGAAACAATGTCACTCTTAAGCTTTCTGAAATCTGACCTGTCAGAGCTCAAGGTGCGCAAAACAAGTGGAGACAAATCTGGGGTTGTTGAGGGGTCATCGGTTTACAGGATGGGCTCACGGACTCATGGCGGGACACTTTTGCCTTCTGGTCGTCGCCCATCCCTGAAAGACCTGACCGCCACCCTGCGGCGTGCAAAATCCTTCACTTATTCAGACAAACCCACAACAGCTGTTAGGTGTTACTTGACAGGTGGCACCACAAAGAGGAGCTCCTCTGAGCAGCAGCTTGACTTTGATGGAGAGAGGGATGGAGGGAGGGTGTCTGTGTCAGATAGGGAAGTAGAAAGTGATGGGGGTGATTTTAGGGTTGGGAGAGGACAAAGAATAAGGGACTATAGATTTGATGATGATGATGAAGTGATGCCTCCATTGCAGGAGAGGTATGTGCAGGAAGCCAGGAAGGTCATTCAAGATATCTGCCAGATGAGTACTAGGGAAGATGATGATGATGTAGATTTAAGGAGAACTGATGATGATTTGGAGGATGAATGTTTCCAGGTCAAGAAAACAAACGAGGAGAAGGATAAAGCAGCAGTAAGCATTAAGAATGAGGCAAGCACAGATCAAGAGACTGAGTTTAAGAACACAAAAGACAGGGATAAACATGAGAGGGAGAGAGAGAACAGGGAGAGGGAGAGGAGCGAGAGGGATGGACAAAGTATGCAGTTGGAGAAGCTAAACAGCAGGAGCACAGAGTACAGGGAGAAGGCAACAAGACAGAGCAGAGAGACAGAGAGAGCTTTACTGAAGGGCGACTCTGAGGAAAGCATGTTCTACGACCGCTCTGTGGATGAACTTTCAGGCCATGAGTCTAGTTTAACAGATGAAGGGATTGTGACAGAGCCAGAAACAGGCCCCACTGACCCCTCTGAGAGGTCATTCTTGGGGTCAGCAGGGGTTAATTTGGGGTCACGAATTGCTAGGGATGTGCTAGGGCAATCAGTTCTCCATGAGGCAGAAGGGTTTAAGCAGGAGAGAGAAGAGGTGACAGAGAACAGCGTGAATTGTACAAATCGTCTGAATGAAGTCGGCGTACCTCCCTCCCTGCCTCTTCCTGTCCGTATGGCTGAGAGTGACAGTATCATCATGGAGCTGAGCGGCACCGCTGGTATCAACAATGTTAACGCTACCACGGAGGAGATGAACGCCAACAGCACCGCAGGAGGAGGAGGACTTGAAGCCCCTGCAACCCCAAGTGCTATCCGCCGAAGGCGCAAGTTCTCCCCCTCTGGTAATAACAGCACAGGATCTGATTCCAGTAATGGCAGTAATGCAGAGTCAACAATAGCAGCTGCCGGAAATGGGGAGTCCACAGTCTACCGCTCTCTTAGCGACCCCATGCCTCAGCGGCGCTGCTCTGTGGCAGAAGAAGGGAATAACAATTTTTCCTCTGTAGACAGCAACCTGTTAGGATCCCTGTCTGTCAAAGGAGGAGGAGGAGGAGGTGCAACAGACTCCAACATGTCAGAATACAAGGGCAGTGTTGCCAGTGACTTGTCAGTTTACAGTGATGGCGGGCTCCGTGATGATGGTGTTTGTGACTACAGTGGCGTCATCAGGAGCATCGTAGCTGAACCAGGTGCAATGGACAGATTGATGACGGATGACCATGGCAATGGCAAAGCTCCCAAGAAGAAGTCATTCAGTGACCCCAGTCGCCGCAGTGATGCCCCTTTACTTTCCCAGCATGACCCTAAGTTTAAAGGTCAGACCGGCAGCACTCAGCCAATCATTGAACTGGATCAATCTGGCCACATCCCACCATCCAGTAGTGAGCCAATCCTGAGTGAGCAGAGAGAGGAACTGTGGGAGCCAGAAGTTAAGCCTAAACACTCATTGCTGCCACAGCCACATCTCCATGCAGACAGCAGTAATAAAGTCAAGAAGGCTCGTTCTCAGTCAGAATGCACCCCCCACTCTGATAACCACAAGGATGAAGAAGATGATGTAATAGACGAAGGTGGAGAAGAGAAAGAGGTGCAGAAGTTTAACTTTGACCTCAAGCTAGCTGGGGTTCTGTCCCCTAGAATGGTTCGTCGGCCCTCCAGAAAGCGTCCCAACAGGCTGGCTCAGTTTTTCTCTCACGAGGATCCATTTGTGCCCAAAGAACTGGGCTCAGAGGAGCAGGAAGATAACGGCGACCTCACCCCTCCTCTCCCGCCTCCCCTACTGCAATCCAAATCCAAAACCAGATCCAAGCATATCCGCCATGCCAGCGAACCTGCCACTTTTATCCCCATCTCCCCACCTCCCCACCTCCAGCCACTGAAGGAAGCGGACTGCCTCGCCGTCCAACCCACCGCAGAGCCTCCAACCTTAAGTAAGCCTCCAGGAGATGAGGCCCCATCTCTGGAAGACGTGACTCAGAAATATATTCTGGAACTGAGCAATGCTGAGAGGGACACTGAGGGCCCAGGGCCTCTTCCAGCAGCCAGGGATGGAGCCGAAGGTTCAGTGTCGGCTTCAGAGGGGCCCAGCGAGACCAGCACCAGTGGAATTACAGAAACTGGACCACAGAAGAAGAGCACAGAGGAAACTGTGTCCACGGCTATGCCACCGAGGACCAAGCCCAGAGTGGTGAGTCCAAATTATTTTCTCTTTTTACCATCTTGATTCCATGTGTGAGTGTGTACAAATGCAGCGCTCTCTTGTTGCATGGCGTCTTTTGGTTCATGTCAGATATGGTTTTAAATCTGGTTTAATTTTGGTTTGTCTTTAAGTGGCTGAGAAAGAGTGACTTTTTCAGATGCCTCAACTATGTTGAACCTTGATTATACACGTGTTATACAGCTTGTTCTTATGGTTTCATAGCTACACCCTAAGGTGTATGTGCATGCTTGTAAATCAGGACTCGTATGGTTAATTTCAGCATGCATTTGGGAGCAGTGTTACAATACAGAAGCCATTAAAGGCTGAGCAGTGTTAAACAAACATCAGAGGATGTTATTAGTTTGATTAAACAAATCAGACAAAGGGCATTTAGGAGTGGACCAAGGCCAGCTGAGTCTGTCTGTTTTCATTTATTTGTTTCATTCAATATTGATTGTCTCTGTGCCAGAATTATGGAGTCATAGAGAGGGGATATAATAAACAGTTCGCCCAAACAGAGATTGGGTGTGTGATGTCTGCGATGCTGCATTTACTCAGCAGTGTCTAAACACTGGAAGACATCTCGAGTTTTTGTATCATAGCAAGGTTAACTGATAGGGCTGTGACCAAAAAATCAGAATCCTGATAATTATACAGAATTAATTGACAATAAATGCATGTTTTGTAAACAACCAGTGGGTAGAATAAGCACTATAAAATGATAGTATATTAAAAAACAATAAACCTAAAATGATTAAGCTAAGATAAATACAGAATAATGCACACACTCGATTTTGTATGGTTTGTTGACAGTAGTCACTCATGAGGTTTCAGTGGAAACTAAACGTGTCTGTCAATGTTCTTTTCTGTGGACTATGTCATTCATTGCCATACACAGCTACTGTTACTCATAACACACCCCCCCCTAGTGGCACCACACACACCACACACACTCAACTACACACCACACACACACACACAAACACACACTCACACTCACATGCACAGTCTCTCCTGGAGGTCTTTGCCTGAAGTCAGAGTTACTGTACAGTCATGGGTGTAACTCTGAATAGGTGTGGAGAAAGTAAAAACAACACAAGGATTACCACCTTGTCTGAGCTCAGGACAGAAGGTTGCAGACATATCATCCAGGGCTTTGCTTTCTTTACGTCATGACTGCTTTTTTGATTGCGGTGACTGTTTTGCAGCCCGAGACCCATTCCGCCAAATGTTGCCTGTAGTTGTGATTTGTCATTTTTATTTGCTAAATTCACGTCCCTCTTTGAAATTCTCTCACAAAGCTGCTTTTCTGCCCATTGATTACATCCATTGCGCTGGACTTCATTAGTCGTTGATTGTTTTATTTCCTTGCATTGTCCTTACTTGTTGCCGTAGCGACATTAGCAGTTGTTTTACGAGTGACCTCACCAGGCAGGAAATGGCTTTAGGGAAAAAGGAAGTTGTTGTGGTTACTGAAGTGTTTGATGATGTCCAGCACTGCCGGCCGGCGTGTGCGAATGTGCACACCATTGTGTTGAGTTGTGTTGTTGAATTTGTAACTTGCCAGCATGTGTGTATTAACTGGTTTACTCTTTCTTCCTCTTTCTGTGTATGTGTGTGCGTGTTCATATTGTTTGTCTGGAATATATCAATGGCTTGTTCAATCGTTTGGACGTTTAGAGCACTGCCCTCGAGGTCTGGTGCATAGTGGCAGCGTGTGTGTGTGTGTGTGTGTGTGGTGTGTGTGTGTGTGTGTGTGGTGGTGGCTTGCGTGTGTTTGGACTGAATGTTAAGTAAGACGACTGTGCCCACGCTAACATGGGCACAGGGACGATTCTGCAGAAAGGAAGGAAGAAAGAAAGAAGTTGAGAGAGGCAGAGAAGAGAGCTTTTTCCTTTTCTGGATGTAGTGTGGCTCATTTCACCCACAGCACACTGCCCGCTTCCTGACATCAAAATATCTAATTTATCTTTATTTATTTATTTATTTATGTATTTATTTATTATTCATCAGTCATCTTTATCTATGTTTCTCATTTACTTTTCTTCACTATTTCTTTTTTGCCTTCTCCTTTCTCATCTCCTTTCGTCATTCATCCAGATGCTGGGTCAGCCAAAGTCTATAGTCTAAAGTCTGAAATACTATATCAGTATGTTGCATTTTCAGCTCATACTTTCACCCCATCTCCATTTGTCTTGTTTATTCTCCAACTTTCCTCTTCATGTTATCTTATTCTTCTCCTTGCTGTCTCTCTCGGTGTCTCTGGAACATTGCAGTGAAGTGAGGTCATAACGTTTGTCTTGGTGTGAGGCAGCCTGCCGAGCCAAATGTCAGGTAGAGAGGGAAAGAAAGACAGAGACAAGAAAAAAGAAAAGAGCTGGAAGGAAAGCGGCTAAAAAAAAGTTACAGGATCAAAATAGAACAGAGCTGAAGAATGAAACGGTGATGGTGTGAGGGGGAGTGAGGGACTGAGAGGTAATGGGAGATGGGAGATTGCTGTTTTTCAGTTGAACCAGAGGTGGGTTGTATGTACAAAATAAAAATCTGTCTTGATATGTTTTGATTTAAGTATTCAAAACCACATGGCATACATCTTGACTCATGTTTCCTCAGTGTTTGGAAGCCTCAAACTAGGACACATTTGGGAATAAATATCTTATTAACATTCATTAAGATGTGACAACTGAGATGTAAGACATCTTTATATGAGAATTATATAAAAACTTTATTATATGGATATAGATAAAACTGTATTATGACATAAAACCAGTGGAAGAAAGGGGTTCTGGCTCCATTCATTCTTTTAGTGCACTGTGTTATCAAGTACTCCACTAAATGTATCCACTGTTTATCCAGTCGGTATAAAATAAGCTCAGATAGAGAACGCTCTTCCTTCACAGCAGCTGAACGGACAGGTTCAAACAAATAATGATTGAATAATGATGATTTCTCCTCATGAATAAGTGTGTGTGTGTGTGAGATTCTTGTACTTTTTGAGTAGTTTTCACTTTAGCAGGCAGCAGGAATGTGGCCCATCTTTCCTTCTCCTTTTGTTGCATAACAGTCTTCAATTTTCCAAAAGAGCTGAAGGATTGTTCAAGGATTTTTGTGTGTCACGCCTTAGTGACCATATTTTAATATGGTATCATTTAAGTTTCTGTACTGAGACAATACTTTTTGGGCATTTTACTTGCAAGTAAACCAGACTAAGAATCTGGTATATCATTCAGTACCGATTTTTGGTACTTGTAGACACATTTTAGTCTGCATTTAAACGAATACCCAGCCATAATAATATGTTATTACAGTGTATACTTCTTGCATATCATTGAAATGTACAAAGGACAGCTGTCTACGTACCACACACTTTCTTCTGTGACTCATCGCATAAAATAGTATCTTAAAAGCCCTTTGAATATATTACCTTTCATCCTATTGATGAGGCCACTACAGGTTGAGAGAGGATGCTGGAAGGAAGTGCTAATGGGACAAAGAAAAGAGACAGAAAAGATCGGTTTGTGCTGTGCTCTGCATGGATTAGGTCTAAAAGCACAGTGTTTATAGCTTCAGATTTATGACTGACTTTTTGTTTTATCAGGCCACCCACATGAAATCAAATACTTTCCCTCTGAACAGTCTTTTTTTCTTGCTCTCCCCTGTTGCTGGAGAGGAACAGTAAAGGTAGAGATGTGACTTGACTCATAGGTTTAATTTGAAATAATCATTGAGAGGCTAAAACAGGCGTATTTCTCTAGAATATGAATGTTTTTTGTTTTTTTTACAACAAACCACATCAGACTTATATAAAAGTAAATAAAATTATAAGTGAGCGTGTGCAGTAAAAATATCTGCTCGATATTCTAAACACTAGTCAAAAGGAGCAAACACTGTGGTAGAAAACGCATCATCAATAAGCAACCTGCTCCTTTGAAAGCAGACTTAAAAGTAAGGTTAGAGTACACATTACAAACACACATAAAGGATATAGTGTGGGTGCTAGGGGTTATTTTTTAACATGCAAAGGTCAGCCCAGGTTTAGTGAGGTCCAAAAGGTGAGGGATGCAGAGTGAGATAAAGGTGAAAGAGAGATGAAAGGATGAGGATGTGGTTTGTTCTGGTTGAAGGTCTCCATGACTCAGCAGATGAGAAGGAAGAGGTGGGATGAAAAGGATGATCAAAAGGTCTCACTGCTGAGAGCTGTGGTTTCAGTGACACATAGGCAGCCTCTGATGGTGAACATATTGAGTTCACTTTTGCCAGTGGAGGTAGAAACCTGGCTTATACCTAAAAAGATGGATGACTTACTGGTTGAGTTAAATATGACTTCAAAGAAACAAAAAAAGGAACTTTGGTACTAAACTGGTTCCTTAATGTTTGCTATGGTTTCTGTTCCTATGTGGTTAAGGTCCCCAGACAGCGGAGAACCTTGGAGAGAGAACGTCCCCCTACCTCCAGCCATCTTATCCTCTGCTCACATACATGCGTGCAACATGTTTTGCCCGCCCCTCTCTCGCTCTCATACACACATAGCCTGGTGTATTGCTTTTGGGACAGGCACAACAAAAATGTTTTGTGTTCCTCTGAGTAAGAGCATGTTGGGGTGGGGGTGATTTAAGAGGCCGATTTTAGAGATGCCGAAGTAATTTTGACTAACCATAGATAACTGTGTGTATATAAGCTTGGTTGTGGCTCTCATTTGTGCAGCCAGCGGAAATCAAAAGTATCCAGTATACTGTTTTGTGCAACACACTTGACTTTCCATCACCGGTATGACTGAGTATGCACCACTCTCACGTCTTTATGGTAAATGTGTAGCTGGAGCCAGCAGCTGGTTAGCTTAGCTTAGCAAAAGGCACTGCAAACAGGGGGAAACAGCTAGCCTGGCTATTGTACAAAGGTAACAAACCCACCCACCAGCACCTTTGTTTGCACTTCTTTTACACTTTATTATAAGGGTTAACCAAAATATTGTGTTAATTCTTGAGCCT